AAATTATAATAACAGTAATTACCTAATAAAATTCTAATTAACAAAATATAAAAGAGTTTAATTCACAATAAAGAGCTCTCATTAATTATTATATCCCACAATATAAATTCTATAAAACTCCAAATTACCTAATAAAATTAAAATTAATTCAAATTAACAAAATATAAAAAAGAATTAAATTTAAATTACAAAGTCCCACATTGGTTTTAAGTAAAAAGGATTGTATGAAATCCTCTTATTAAACTATAGAGCTAAAGAAATAATAATCACACCTTCTTAGCCTTTTGGCTAAGATCAAGTGTAGTATTAAATTTTGCAGTATACTATTACTCACACAAAATACAATAAATTCAAATTATACTATACTACTCACACAAAATATAATAACAGTAATTACCTAATAAAATTCAAAATTAACTCTCATTAGTTATTATATCCCACGATTGTAGCAGGAAGGGATTCAAAACCTAAACCAAACCTAGATGGACCAAATTTTCAATTAGTATAGCTTATTTTGGAATTTTTATATCATCTTTTTTTTTTTTTATATAAACCCATTTATTCATCTTTGCAAAATTTGAACTTAATTAATTCATTTGTTAAAACGAGGCCTAAGAGAACTCTTAGGGACAAAATAATATATGGGATATATGATTGGTCATATAATCGTGGTTACATAGATGCTTTTTATGCAACAATTTGAACTGGAGGTATAAGAGGATTGGCTAAATTAATTCATTTTTTTGATAGACGGATAATTAATGGAATTACGAATGGGGTTGGTATTATGAGTTTCTTTGTAGGAGAAGGCATCAAATATATAGGAGGGGGGCGCATTTCTTCTTAACTTTTCTTGTATTCATCTTATGTATCAATCTTTTTAGTAATTTACTATTTATTTTCTTCTATATAACTTTCTTTATTTTCAAGTATTTTTAACTTCGAATTTTCTTGATTCCCATCTAGATAAGAAGTCTCAGAAATTGGACTATTTTGATAGCATGTCTCTTTAAAGTAAAAGTGGAATTCATCCGTTGTCTTTTGCTTTCCATTCACTCAGATCTTTTCCGTTTCACCTATTTTGTCCGAATCCTCCTTTTCTTCGGAAAAAAGGGAAGGAGAAGGATTTTCTTCAGTAGATTCCTCTTGTTCCTGTTTAGTCCCCTTCTTTTCGGAAGCTGTTTCTATTTCTACATCTGTTTCTTCCGCACTTTCCCTCATTTCTTCCGTTTTTGAGGTAATTGCACAAACAAAAAGAGTGGGATTGGGTTGAAGACAAAGGAGCAAATTACTTGCCAGATGTTATTCCCTTTTCTTTTAGATATTTATACTATATAAAAGTGTAAGGGCTTTTTTGTATTTTCAAACAATTTATATATTTATTTATTTATTACTACTTTCTCAGCTTTTTGGCTTTCAGTATTTATTTATTAATATAAAAAAAGAGTTTTAAAGAGTTTAATTCAAATTGCCTAATAAAATTTATAAAAATTAATTTAAAGAGTTTAATTCAAATTACAAATTACCAAATAAAATTCATTTTTCTTGTCCCATATTGGTTTTAAATAAAAATGATTATATGGAAGCCATTTATAAAACTTTAAACCTAAAGAAATAATAATCACATCTTTCTCGGCCTTTTGGCTAAGATCAAGTGTAGTACTAAAATTTTTTGGGTTGGCCTTTTGGCTAACCTTTTTTGGTCTTTTGGCTAAGATCAAGTGTAGTACTACTTTCTCGCCCTTTTGGCTAACCTTTCTCGGCCTTTTGGCTAAGATCAGGCTAAGATCAATTGTAGTACTACCTTCTCGGCCTTTTGAATGTGCAAAGAGTTTTAGTCTTTCAGTATTTTTTTATTAATATAAAAAAAGAGTTTTTATAAACAAAAAAGTACCAAAAAATTATCTAAAGAGTTTAATCCAAATTACAAATTACTTAATAAAATTTATAAAAATGAATTTAAAAAGTTTAATTCAAATTACAAATTACCTAATAAAATTTATTTTTCTTGTTCCACATTGGCATTAAGTAAAAGTGATTACATGAAAGTCTTTTATAAAACTATAGACCCAAAGAAATAATAATCACACCTTTCTCGGCCTTTTGGCTAACCTTTCTCGGCCTTTTGGCTAAGATAAAGTGTAGTGCTAAATTTTTTTAGGTCGGCCTTTTGACTAACCTTGCTCGGTCTTTTGGCTAAGATCAAGTGTAGTACTACTTTCTCGACATTTTGGCTAACCTTTTCAAATTATAGAAAGTCTAAAAATTATTACCTAATAAAATTCAAATAAAATATAAAAATTATTACCTAATAAAATTCAAATAAAATATTTATTAAAACTCCACACGAAATACATTTCAAATATAGAAACTCTAAAACTTAATACCTAATAAAATTCAAATAAAATATTTATTAAAACTCTAACACGAAATATTTCAAATTATAGAAATCTAAAAAAAAGTAGCTTCTATAAAACTCTAAAAATTATACCTAATAAAATTCAAATTACCTATTTTATCTATTTGTTGTTTCTAAAAAAGTATTTACTCTCTCTATTTATAAGTCTTTTTTTTGCCTTGCTACACAAAATATATTTCAAGTTATAAAAACTCTAAAAATTATTTCACAATAAAATTCAAAGAAAATATTTATTAAAACTCTAACATGAAATATATTTCAAATTATAGAAACTCTAAAAATTATTACCTAATAAAATTTAAGTTACCTATTTTACCTTTTTGTTGTTTCTAAAAAAATCTCTACTCTCTCTATATGTAAGTCTTTTTTTTGCCTTCCTGTAATCACATCAGTTTTATATGTTTTTTTCTGAGGTACGTGTAACCCCCAGATTATGCATTGTTTTATTATTTTTTATTTGTCTCACCCCCATATCATGCATTGTTTTATTATTTTTTATCTGTCTTATACCCAGATCATGAATTATTTTATTAATTTTTATTTGTCTCATACCCAGATCATGCATTGTTTTATTATTTTTTTGAGTTATGAATTCTTTTATATGTCCATGGCTTATGCCTTCCGAATATGATGTTCTCTGTAGAATAACCCTCAATATTTTAACCCCTAAAGAAACGGACTACTTGACTGGCTGAATTCATAACGGTGGAACTGTTAAATTGAAGTTTCTTAATAACACCTCAATTGAAGTTGAGGAGCTTGAAGTAGTAAGCTTAAAAATAATAAAATTTAATTTTGTGGACTTCAAGGAGCTAAACAAGTACATTGATGCAAAATAAAATATGGGTTGGTTTTCATTTAATTCTCAACTCTCCATATATATGTTCTTTCTTGTACATATATAAAATAAATTAAAATTAACATTAATATTTTATTTTTAATCTTACTAGATGCTTTGGGAATTGTTATTGAGGTATAACAAAGATATAAAAAGTTTGATTTCCAGTATATTAAATTCAATGGTGTTGATAAAAAATTCAATGGTGCTGAAAAGTCAAATTTCAAGACATAATAGGAAAATCTACAATGTCCTTTGAGGTATTAAATTTTAGTATATTTTTTAACCTTACTTAATTGTGTATCATATTTTTATATTCAATTTATATATTGAGAAGTTATATTTTGTTGCACAACCTGCAGAAAACAAATTATACTTTCGAAGCAACAATTGAAAATGTCATCAATGATTGCAAACCGTGGTACAACGCGTATGAGAAATGCAACAAGAAAATTAAAGTTGAAAAAGATAGAGTATATTGTTCTTGATGCAACACAACAGACCCAAAATGCTTTCAAAAGTATTATTATATCTTAAAATCTTATTATTGTATTTATTTCAATGGTTTAATAATATTACAAATACATAATTCTTTGTCTTTACTCATGTGCAGATTCATGATGATAATTAAAGTGCGAAATGGAACATATTAGAATACTTGTAACCCTAGTAGTGTTCAATGATTGCCAAATATTAATAAATTGTTCACTAGATGATTTATTACAATTACAAATTGAGGTAATTTTTCACCTTTATTCATAAAATTTTAATTAAATTAAAAAAATATTTACTTGAATTTCTTAATAGCTCTAAATTCTCAATAGCTCTAAATTATATTTGTTCTTTTTGTAAAACATGGATGAATTCAGTAACAAAGTGACAAGCTGCAAAGGAAAATATTTTCTTTTTCTGGTGAAGATAGACAATACTCAATAACAAGTTGTGAAAACTTATTTTGCGGTGGAAGAATTAAAAGAATTGACACTTAACAATGATTCATTTCATGAAGAAATGAGATATGTAAAAAAGATAAAGATTGAGAAATAAATAATTTAGGAATACTTTTATTTTCAAACAGTTATAGTTTTGAATTTTCTAATATATTTTGTTTCTTTTGATGTGACAATTATTACAATTTAAAAATTGTTGGTACCCTTTTCGGATTTTAAAATATATAGAATTTTTATATAATATTTATTTATGAATATTTTGTAAATTATAGAATTTTATTTTCATATATTTTTTAAATGTTTATAGTTTTCATTCATACATCAATGGAAAACCTTATTTTGTTTCTTTTGAGGTAACAATTATTACTCTCTAAGGCATTCTAGGCCTGAAACTGTTTTGTCTATTTTTTTTTATAAAACTATAAATAATTAAAAATATATATGAAAATATAAATTATATAAGTTATAAAACATTCATCACGTGCATCGCACGTGCCTTTTACTAGTTTAAATAAAAGAATGAAGAATTTATCAATTCTTTGAAGAAAAAAATTTCCCATTTCAAAATTTTGAATTTATGAGAATATAACAAAATAAAATTAAAATTAAAAGGAATAGTAACAATTTAAAAACCAAAAATAGAATAATTATAATTACAAATTGCACAAAAGTAAAGTAAAAAATTTGAGAGATCTAAACTAATTTGAAAATATTTACGAAAATTAAAATTTATTAATGTTATTGAAGCTTTATAGGGATCTTTAAAGTAAGAAAGTAGGTTTATGAGTAATTTTATCATTATTTTTCTAAAACACTCTTAAGAAGAACCGAGGAAATGCTAGTGTTTTCTTTCAGTGATTTATTTTATTTTATTTTTTTTACAATTTTTTATTATTTGCAATACATTTTTTTTTTTTTTTTCTATATGTCCACAATGGTGGTGTCACGACTCTCAGATGCACCACTTTTTTTTTTTTTAATAAATACATTGATGCACACTATCTTGTACTTAAACAGCAAAGTTTCTTATTTTACCTCTTATTTAACGAAGTTTACTAGTTTACCCTTGAAAACTTCCATTGTCTTACCTTCCAAAAAAACCTTCCATTATCAGTCCATTCTTACTAAGGGCAGAGTTGACATTTTAGAATATCAATTTGCAAACATTAATAAAAATTTAATGTTTACAAACAACATATTACCAAATGTCAGGAGAAATAAATGTAATATATAAAAACACAAGGGACAACTGAAATCAAGAAACAAAAGTAATGAGATGCTCCTCATATCCATCAGATGAGGTAAGAGATGAGAGGTGTGTTCTTTAAGTTGGTGGGTTAGAGCCCACTTGTTGTCTTCGGTGCTGTCTGTACTTGAATTGTGTTGGTTGGTGCGTTTTTCTTTTCCTTAGTCATGAATACATACCAAGTGAGAATCTCCATTGCTAGAGTGATGAAGCCCAAAACACCAAGCAGTCCAATGTATATCCATTTCCAGGTATGCTCTGGTTTTAAGATGGCAATCCCTTGAAATATGTTCACTGATATGAGAGCAAGCAGAGCATACCCTAGAAAATGATGGTACATGTTCCAGTACTTGCGGTAATCATCCGTTGGCCTTGGCCTCAGTCGCAATGCCAACATCTGAACGTACAACAAAAATGCTCACTTCATTTGATATATGCTGCAAGCAAGATTTGACAAACACACACACACACACACACACACACACACAAAAAAGCAGCAGCAAATTAATTGACATTCATGAGCGCGACAGATTGAGCATGGAGATTAAAATACCTGCAATGTTGTAAAGGTAAAAATCAATATTGCTAGAATCCGGTGAATGCGAAATCTGTAGTACTTAGAAGCATTTCCAAGCCATAATCCAATGGCCCAGCCGCTTGTTCCCAAAATATATCCCCCAATCTGGAAAAATAGATGAATTCTAAACCACCATTTGGTTTCTACTGGAAATTTCCTGAAGTACCTCGCCACAATCACACCCATTGGCATGAATGTACCCCACCCAATAATGTTCAAAATCCCATGGACCTGCAAATTGCGAAAAACCATATTATGGCTTGTGTTGTGGGGCTGAAAATAAGGCCATAGTGAGCAAATTAAATGAAACCAGTTATACCAAAGTAATTAACTCTTAGCATATCAATCTCAAGTGTTAATCAAGAAGCTAAAACTTCATGTCAACTGTCAAAAAGTGCTTTGATTTTTCTGCAATGAGATTACTACTTTTACACAATGTATAGTCAAATGCTGTGGCGTTAAAAACAAAAAAAAGGAATTCACTGAAAATAGTGTTAGTACGTAAGAACAACACATGCAATGCAACAGTTTCATTTCAGCAATTTAAGACAGCTAATTACCATTCTAAGGTGACGACGGTGCTCTCCAACACTTCCAATACTAGTACCAGAAACGAGGTTTAGAGTCTCCACGCTATCAACATTTCGGAGAGTGGTGGGATGCATCATGGGTTGGTCGCCAGAGGCGGCGTGCCCAACTTGCCACACAATGTTCAGCCTTGAAATGTTGTATGCTGAAGGAAGAACAAGTGTGGCATCTATTACATAGTATTGAATTTTACCTAAGTAAAAAAAATTCTTGTCCCGAACTTCCACATCAATGTCGGTAGGTAGGAGGCGGCAACCTAGCTTGGTGTCACTGGTGATGTTATAGGTGTTGATTATGAGTGAAGCATTTGATTGTTTGATGCCTATGAGGGCTCTAGTCCCAACCATCTGTGGTCTGTCCTGAGGGTTCACCCCCCAGGCTAACCATCCCATCTCAGACTCTAGCTTGGCACCAAACCAAATGTCAATAGTCCTCGATTCATGGTTGTACTCCCACCCAAATTCAGCTCCCAAACTATTCAATTTCTTGCAATTCGTAATGTTGTTTTTTTTTCTGGTAAGGTTAGAGAATTCCTGACTGCAGGGGGAAATATGGGCAGTTGTGGAGATGGCGGAAAGCAAGGCCAGGATGAACGCTAGAGTAAAATGCCAAGAAGACATCTTTGTCACACTCTCTGATCTCCAATTCTCCATGTATATTATACAGTATATACATATGTTCTGACTTAATTTTTGTTATGAGATCTTGGTCTTAGCTGTCAAGTTTGGAAGTGATTACTTAGAAGTGAGAAACTTAATTTTCTAAAAGCATAAATAACCACTGGAGTTAACTCCAAGTTAGCATATATTCTGTTTCTCTTTAGTTTTTGCTTTTTAGCTAGGTGAGTTCAAGGTACAGTACTCTGTGAACATATAGTTGTTGTCATAAAGAAGCTAGCTAGACTGAAACCATGCTTCTACGCACGTTGTCACGCGCGCGTTGTGTTTGCAAGAAATATAGAATTGTTTGCTCCAATTGATTCGTGTTCACGAAGGTAAGACGGATGTTCAAACTGGTGAGAGTACTGAGGTCTGGTTTTCTTAAGTAGACATTGCAATGCAATGCAAGTTTTAGGTGTGTACAAAACAGAAATATGTGAAGATCTGACTAAAATATTTTTTCCAATTAAGAAGAATTGAAGAAACAATGACATATATAGTGCAATTACAAAGAATTAATTTTCTAAAACTTGAGTTGGTATTTCTAGTTACAATATCTAACTGCAGAGTTCTAACTTCTAAATGAGTTGGCTAGCTTTGCCCACCAAATGCACGAGCTTTAATTTTGTTCAAGAATATACACACACACATTTATATATATATAGAGAGAGAGAGAGAGAGAGAGTCATTTTATGCATTTGTTGGGTAAAACTTGTATCATGAAACTTGAAGAACAAGATTAATATATAAATGTCAGTTTTATGCACCAAGTTTATCCCCCTCTCAACACCCTTGATGGCTACTTTTTATCTCTTATTCACAACTACCCTATATAAAAAATAAATTGGGAATAAAGTAAACATGTTTGGCCATTTTTTTCCTGTTACAAGGTTATAAAATGGTTATTATTTGAATATTGTAAGGCTATTCCGTACAATTCAACTTGGGAAAGTTTATACATCCATCCAAAATGATGATAATATTATATATAAATGGAAAACTGCATGTGGTGGCGTGTGATGTGAGTGCATAGATTTTTATTTGCAGTTGAATATTGAATATTGCATATTATATGATATATAGATTTTTATAAATAGACCTCGTGTTTCATGTCCTATCTTTATCTTACTTATATGCATGTGCTTTACCAAATTAACAATCTAAGAAATTCTCTTAAGCTTGCTTTACTGATGCATAAACAGCAAAGTTTCAAGGACCTTTAACTTTTGCATTTAATTTGCTCATCTTTTTACAGTTATTAAGTTTGGATGCCAATGTTCTTGGAGGCATGGTTGGCCAATGTATTAAGAAACATCAACATCTTTCTTTTCCATATTCATGTCTTTGATTGAAATAAATAATAAATAAAATGGCCCAACTCAGACAATGCTTGGCGAGATCTAAATATTCTAAGTGAACTGGTTGAAGCTAAACCTCTTACGCAAAGTATACCACCCCAAGAGTCCACGTTATCTCACAAATTCCCTGCAAAAAATAATAATAATAATAATAATAATAATAATAATAATAAAAATATAAATATAAAAAAACCTTCTCCATCTCCGGCCATCTCCATCTCCATCTCCATCTTCATCTTCATCCTTCAATAGCCCTAAGCATCTAATAATGCTTTTCATCTCCCAAAAATATTAAAAAATTAAAATTAATTAATTAAATTAAATTAAATGGTAGAAATTGAAGGCAAATAGTAATTCAGAATTTCAAATTTTCATTTTGTCCTTATAAATCCAATTTTATTTTAAGTACTTGTAAAAATATTTTACACCTTCGAACCTTTCAAACACAAAAGATTCACTGTCATCCTCTTCCTCGCCCAAAGGCAACTAGGTAAAGGAAATATATATATAAGAGGTTAGTATATATATGTACTTTTTCAGACAAGCTAGAGAATAAGTCCATGTAATTATGACAAATTTGAGGAAGGTCCATGCATGTAATTTAATTACCCTCTTTATTTTTTTGATCTCTTTCTTTTTCAATCGATACCAATATATAGACAATAGCTCATTGCACTTTGAGTTTGAGCTTAAGCCTGGACTGTATGTGATGTGATGTGAGTGCATAGATTTTTATTTGCAATTGAATATTGCACATTATATATAAATTTTTATAAAGAGACCTCGTGTTTCATGTCCTATCTTTATCTTACTTATATGCATGCTTTGCCAAATTAACAATCTAAGAAATTCTCTTAAGCTTTGCTTTACTGATGTATAAACATCAGAGTTTCAAGGGACCTTTAACTTTTACATTTAATTTGCTAATCTTTTTACGTTTGGATGCCAATGTTCTTGGAGGTATGGTTGGTCAAGGTCTTAAGAAACATCAACATCTTTCTTTTCCATATTCATGTCTTTGATTGAAAAAAAATAATAAATAAAATGGCCCAACTCAGACAATGCTTGGCCAGATCTAAATATTCTAAGTGAACTGGTTGTAGCTATCTCTTACGCAAAGTATACCACCCCAAGAGTCCACGTTCTCTTACAAATTCCCTTGCAAAAAAAAATTCTCCATCTTTATCTTCATCCTTAAATAGCCCCAAGTATCTAATGCTTTCCTTCTCTGTAAATAATAATAATAATAATTTTAATTAATTAAAATAATAATAAAATGGTAGAAATTGAAGGCAAATAGTAATTCAGAATTTCAAATTTTCATTTTGTCCTTATAAATCCAATTTTATTTTAAGTGCTAGTAAAAATATTTTACACCTTCGGTAACGGAAATATATATATATATGAGAGGTTTAGTATATATGTACTTTTTCAGACAAGAGAATAAGTCCATGCAATTATAACAAATTTCAGGAAGGTCCATGCATGCATGTAATTTAATTATCCTCTTTATTTATTTTATTTATTTTATCTCTTTCTTTTTCAATGGATATCAATATATAGACAATAGCTCATTGCACTTTGAGTTTGAGCTTAAGCCTGTATCGTATGTGAGATGTCCGTCTTTGGGAGGAAAACAAAAAGGGTGTTCTGGGAGAGAGCATTTGATTTTGTGTGACTTTTATGGAATTAATAGTCCGTAGGATAGATATGAGTTTCAATTCTATATGAGCGACCCTTAATTCTCTTGTCGTGTGTGAAAAAATATGCATTTTTATTTTGTTTGTTTTTATTTTCCCTTTAGGCATGCACAGCAAAGGAATTACTCAAGTTCCCTTCCAGTACAATGAAATTTATTTATTCTCATCTCCACATAATGCAAGTCTCTCCCTCCCTAACCCTTACAAACTGTAAACTAACTATTTTAACATGTATTCCTTGAAGTTTTTAAGAGCATTACATTATATCATTATAACAAATCATACTTAACCAAATCCTCATATACAAAAATCTTCAACCAACTATTTTTACAAATTTATTTTCTTTTCTTTTCACTTTTTTTTAGACGATAAAAATGTTTGATCTCTTAAAACATTCATAGTTTGATCCATCATAAAATTTGTACAGTCCTTTCATCCACATGTACTAGACAAGGCCAAAATTTTCTACAAATGACCCAAAATATTTCCAAGTTTCATCTTCTAAAATGTTAGATAAGATCTTTATTGTTAAACTTTCCCTTGTGATTTCCTTAAAAATTTCCATCCTTGCACGGAAAGCAGCAGAGGCCATTTACATGTTTGTACTTCAAAGTAGAAAGAATTACATAAATAAGCCTTCAATTTAGTAACTCTAGAAATTGAAGAGAATTAGCAATCACCAATCTCTTGAGCTTCACCCGAAACAATCAATTGTGAAAGTTGGTATAGTTGACGTAAAGAAGGGCGTTTCTATAACAACCCAAACCTGAAGGTCCTAACTGCTAACCGGGTCCTTATCTGAATCAGAAATCAACTAAGGACATTACTGTCCTTTTCTATGTCAATACATAATAATAATAATAATAATAAAATGGGGTCATAGCTACAAAACAATCCACTAACCCGTCAAAAACTGTGGAGGAGCGTCGTCCACCACTTCCCTTCTGTATCCTAAAAAATGTTAATAATAAAATGGGGTGAACCAACCGCTCAGTAGGAAATGTCTAAGACACACCTCTTACGACCCCGTGAATACAAAGGAATAGAATACAAGTAAATGGGATCATGCCTCGGGAAAAGCAAGTAAAGCAATGGTGATATCAATAAATACATACGCTAGTCGTCTAATCACCAAATATACAATGTATGTCAACGCAATGCCATGCCATGCAATGTCGCTCCCCATTTTCGAAACAATACTGTTTCAACTTTCAAACCGTTAGTGCAATCCGATCCAAGGCACCTCCAAGGCGTCACGAAAGGAGGGTTAACTAACTATCCACGACCACAAGGCACCTTCAAGGCGTCGCATCCGGCCTAATTAGTTCAACCATACTCCCTTGTAGACTACACTAACAACACGGACCACTAAGCGTCCGATTTTTACAAACACCTTTGAAAATATTTTTCCAAAAATAATTTTATTTATTTTTTTAAAATAAACTTTTCCCTTTACTTTTCCAATGTTAATGCATGAATTATGCAATTCCTTTAATACTATGACAATATAAAAATTTCGTGCATATCATCCACATCATTTAGACATGTTTAAAATATGAATTTTCACACAATATCACATTCTCATATTTCTAATTCATGGCATTTTACATACTTTCAATTTGCAAATCCAACAACTTAAATACATAAGGCTTAAATTAACATCATTTAAGCATGTATCATCTCAACAAGGCGGCTATCACATAATCACACACTTTCTACAACATAAAAAAAAAAAAAATCATATATACAATATATAAATTACATCTCAAGAATTTAACACAATATAAGCATGCTTGTGCATCAATTAAAGGAGATTAATTCACAAAACTCAAAGAAATGGGTATTAGAACACCCCTACCTCAATTTTGTAGAAAACCCTCGAATGGGTTCATATTTTCGAAATTCTTAGAGTGACCAAAAGCTGAAATTGCTTACATTAACTTGAAGATCTCACCGAACTCTTCGATTTGCCACAAACGGCATCCAAAAACTCCAAGGAATGAAAGAGAAATTAAAGCTTGAATTTTGCAAAAGAAAAAAAAAAAGAAAACAAAAATGAGGGAGAGAGAGATAAGGTGTGACCAAATAATGGCCTTTTGGACAATAAAAGCAATTATGGTGGGTTCCACCAGTTTTTTTTTCTTTTATTTTCCTTCTTATTTTTCCACCATGCATACAACCATATAAAACCCACATAAACACATTAAATAAAATATATGAGATGCAAATGGACCTAACTAAAATTCTCATATACAACAATTACGGTAGTGGGTCCCACACGGGATTGTCCGGCCCAAAAAATGAAAAAATGTAAAAATGACAACCTTTGCATTTCAAAGAGTCCTGAACTCAATGAAATACCCAAAATAACTCTCTGACACACTCAGCACACCCCAAGGTGTCCGGCACGCAACATATGAAAAGACAAAAATGCCCTCAAAAAATCTGAAAATTCCAGTAAATGAAAATTTGTAAAAATTGAAAACATTACAATTTTTGACATATTATTATTATGGTTAATGTGATGCCCCGATTGATGTACATCTATTGAAATTTGGCCATGCCATTGGATGAGGTCATTAAAGAAATGCAAACCACATTTAGAATTCCAGCAGGAAACATAAACTTTAATCAAGGGTAAATTATTAACTCTCATAGTTGTGTAAGTACTTTCGAACTACCAGAAAGTATATAATATTTCGGAAATACTTACACTTAATATTTTCAATCAACGCATAGTAATGAAAACTCTCAATTTATCTTGATATGCAAAAAATGAAGAGTTTTTTAAAAAATATATGATTGTCTAACATATCCGAACTATCAGAAAATATATAATATTTTGAAAGTATGGTATCCCTAATTAATGCATAGTTATGTAAACTCTCAATTTATCATGATATACGAAAAATGAAGAAGTTTTAAGAAAAAGTATGAATGTGTATTACTTGGAGGTACCACATAATGAATACATTAAGTATTGTATTACTTTCTCACGAGCTACACTTGTAACTACCAACTAAATTTTAAATTGGGAACAAATAGATACATCACCAATGTCACATTCTTAATCCAAGCCAAAAGGGTGAAAAAAATAGACAATACAACTCATATCTAAGAAACAAAGTGATTCAATTGAAACAGATGCTGATATTCAGATCGGGTACGAGATAGAGACATGTCTCTTCCTAAAAGGGTGAGTAAATTGGCTAGCGCCCACTTGTCTTCTCTTGATCTTTGTTGGTTGGAGTTGTATTTGTTCGTTTATTTTTGCGAACCAATGCAACCCAGGGGTCACAAGTCTTCCCTTGATCTGTGTTGGTTGGAGTTGTATTTGTTCGTTTATTTTTGCGAGCGAATGCAACCCAAGTGTAAATCTCCATTACTAGAGTAATAGAGAGCAAAATACCAAGCAGTCCAATGTAAATCCATTTCCAGTTATTTTGCGGTTTTAAGATGGCAATTCCATGAAATATGTTCACAGATATTAGAGCAAGCAGAGCATAGCCTAGAAAATGATGGTACATGTCCCAGTACTTGCGATAATCATCTGTTGCCCTTGGCCTGAGTCGCAATGCCACCATCTGAACAATAAATGATCACAACATTTTATTTAAATTAAAGAAGAAAAAAAAAAAAAAAAACACATCGACATACATGAGTGTGACAGAGCATGAAGTTTAATTACCTGCAATGTTGTGAAGGTAAAAATGGATGTTGCTAGAATCCGGTGAGTGCGAAAGGTGTAGTACTCAGAAACATGTCCAAGACATAATCCAATGATCCAGCCTACTGTTCCTAATGTATATCCCACAATCTCAAAAAAAATATGAAGGCGAAACCACCAATTGATTGGTACCGGAAATGTCCTGAAGTACCTCGCCACAATCACACCAATTGGCATCAATGTACCCCAACCAACAATGTTCAGGATCCCATGGACCTGCAAAATCTCAAAAACCCATATTATGGTTTTTGTTGTGGGGCTCAACCACATAGACATATGATGAAGTATTGCGGAAAATAAGACCATAGGGAGCAAATGAAATGAAACCAGTTATACCAAAGTGACTCTTATGCCATAGGTGCTCTGCAATGAGATTACTTGTAGACATGCATATGTATAGCCAAAATATATGTTAGGTACAAGTAGAACATATTGCAACAATTTCATTTCCAGCATGCAATTCAAGTAAAATAATAGTTTACCTTTCTAAGGTGCATTGGGTGCTCTCCAATGCTTCGAGTACCTTGACCCGAATTCAGGTCTATAGTCTCGGAGCTATCAAGATGTTGGATAGTGGCGGGATGCATCAAGGGTTGGGTGCCAGAGGACGCGTGACCAACTTGCCACACAATGTTTAACCTTGACATGTTGTATGCTGAAGGAAGAACAAGTGTGGCATTGATTGCGTAGTATTGATTTCGAGAAAAGTACTCAAATTTCATGCGGCGAACTTCCAAATCAATGTCGGTAGGTAGGAGGCGGCAACCTAGCTTGGTGTCACCGGTGATGTTGTAGGTGTTGATTATTCGTGAGCCATTTGGTTGTTTGATGCCTATGATGGCTCTAGTCCCAACCATCTGTGGTTTGTCCTGAGGGTTCACCCCCCAAGCTAGCCATCCCACCTCAGACTCTAGCTTGGCTGCAAACAAAATGGTAATATTACTGGACCCTTGGTGGTACTCCCACCCAAATTCAGCTCCCAAAGGATTTAATTTCTTGCAATGATTAATGTTTCTTCTGCTGGCAAGGTTATAGAACTCCTGACTGCAGGGGTGAGTATGGGCAATTGTGGAGATGGTGGAAAACAAGACCAGGATGAACACTCCAGTACTAAACTGACAAGAAGACATATCCTTGTAATTGTCACTCTCCCACTTTATGATCCTCATGTATATATATATATGCTGACTTATTGATGTGACTGATGTCTTGGTCTGTCTTAGCTGTCAAGTTTGGATATGATTACTGAGAGTCTCAGATCTTTATTTACTAAAAGTGTAAATGGCCACTGGAGTTAATTTGACGTCTGTCTAATTAGCTATCAAGTCTGTTTCTTTAGTACTTTTCCATTTTAGCTAGGTGAGTTATTACTATAAATAACTATTAGATTATTAAAGTCACCATCTAGATGATAATAATGGAAAACTGCAGGTTTTGGCATTGATTTTTGTGTGGAATTTGAGTATATGTGCATGAATATTTTATAAAGAGAGCTCGTGTGCTTTACCGAATTAACAATATTCTAAAATTGTCTTAAGCTTTTGCTTTACTGATCATGTATACAGTACAGTTTCAATGGAGCTCTAACTTTTACATTTTGCTGATCTTTTTACATATATTCTTGGAGGCATGCATAGTTGGTGTAGGTATTAAGAAACATTATTTTATTTTTTCTTTTTCCACATTCATGTCTTTAAACATGAAAAGAGAGAATGATAGATGGACCACCTCAGACGATGCTTGGCCTGGTCTAAATATTCTAAGCAAACAGGTTGAAGCAAAGTATACCACCCCAAGAGTCCGGGGTAGATTGTAGAAATTGGAGGCTCTATCCTCTTCAGCATAATCAAACATTTTTCACGCACACAACAACACGCACTCACACGCACACGCACGCACGTATATATATGCTTTCAATGTATAATATAGTTTAGTATCACTAGAAATTAATTGAACAGATATAATACCAATCTGATCTCGTGTTTCACCCGCAACTATGTGCATGTTCGCAATATTACATGAATTCTTTAAGTCTATGTTTGACAGGCATGAAATTGAAGTTTTGAAATTATAATTGAGAAAAATAACTCAAAAAATTGAACCAAAATTTTCTCAAATTTCACCAATTTCAATTCCAATACTTCAATTCCATGCCGCCAAACAGAGACTAAAAGTAGAAGAAATATTTGTGTTTGACATGCATTGTTTGGACTTGGGTACATGATTTGTCTCTCATATTTTTTGTTGAACAGTGTACATAAAAAGTATGTATAATAATTTAATTTTATTATATTATTGTTTCAAAATGAGTGAATTAATGTCTATACTAAGCACTATGTTAAATATAAATATTATTTTACTCTAATAAAAGAAATATAAACCACATTTTGAAATCTATAAGTAAACATAAATTTTAATCAAAAATATTGTGGAAGTTAACTAGCATAGAAAAATTCATTGTTCGTGTTTATTGAGTAATGCGTAATGCAAAATATCCTGTAGAGAGAACGTCAAGTGTGAGAATCATTAGATGGTCCGAAATTATTGATCTCGATTAATTACAAGTTACCACATAATAATAATAATAATAATAATAAAGAATAAAGATGAAACATTTAATTGTTTGCTAGTTTGTGACTCATAGGGATGATCTCGATGTAAAGTTTTTGATTTTGATATATATATATATATATATATATATATATATTTATATATATATATATATTTATTGTGGAGAGAAAAATTAAAGAAAAGTTAAAATTGAGAAATTTTGTGGCGGAGGGACCCACCATTACTATCTTTTGGATTTTTGATCAAGAGACCATCATCTCTGTCCTCTCTTTCTCTCTATCTCCCGGCCCTTTCTATGTTCTTTCACTTTTCTTTTTCTTTTCTTTGCTAAACTTCAAATTTTGATTATTTTCTCATCTCTTGGAGTTTTTGGGAGCCGTTTGCGGCAAAACGGAGAGCATGGCGAGATTTACGTGTGAGTACAAACAATTTCAGCTTTTGGCTTCCCCTAGGGTTTCAAATTTGAGACCCATTTTGAGGGTTTTTCTACAAATTTGAGATAGGGGTGTTCTAATGCATGAATTCTTGTATTTTTGTGAGTTTTCTAGCTTAATGTGATACCTAGCATGTTTAATTACTGTTAGTTCTTACAAAGAATTGTTTTAAATGATAAGCATGGAATGTATGTGACTACTTGTTAATTGTTTTAAGGTGATTTAGTATGCTTACAAGTTTATATGAAATTGAATCCATATTTTACATGTTAGTTATGCAAAGTTAATATTAAATGAGAGCTCCATCATGTAGTTTATAAATTTGCCTTGTATAGTATGTGTGAAAGTTATATGGTTGGGTTGATAAATTGAAACACAAACATTTATGCATTCATTGGAAAAGAGAAGGGGGAAAAAATATTTTTAGAACAAACGAAATTGTTTTGGGGAAAATATTTTCTAAAAGTGTTGCGAAAACCGGACGCCTAGGAGGCACCTAGTAGTCCGTGATGTTGGTGTAGTCTAGAAGGGAATGTAGTTGAGTTAACTAGGCCGGATGCGACGTCTTGGAGGTGCCTTGTAGTCGTGGATAGTTAACTAACCTTCCTTTCGTGACGCCTTGGAAGTGTTTTGGGTCGGATTACACTAACAGTTTGGTTGTTGAAATGGAATTGTTTCGGAAACGGGGAGCGACATTTACATAACATTGCACTTCATGACATTGTGGGAAATTTGTGATTGGTTGACATTTGCTACACACTTGTTGTTGTGGTTGAGAATATGTATTCCCCATGGTATGACCCCGTTCCTTTTTGCCCATTCTTTGTGTGAAATTCACTGAAATATAAAAAATGTGTCTTAGACGTTTCCTACTGAGCTTATACTCACCCAATTATTTTTAACCTTTTTCAGGACACGAAAAAGAGGTGGCGGACGACGATCCACCACAAATTTAGACGAGATTGGCGATCTATTTTATTTTGCTATCTTTTGTATTAGAACTCTAATGTTTTGTGAGAATAATCTTAACTATTTTGTGAAACTTTAGTTTAATTAGTATAATGTTGTAAGTTATGGACTTTTAAATTTTACCTACATTTTATGGACTGTAACTTGATGTAACTAAGGTGTGTTCCTTGTTTGGATGAGATGGAGGAACGAGATTTTTTTTATATGTATGTAAACATTTTGGGAATGTGATATAATATTTGTATTGTGCGTTGGGATATGATAGATTAGTTTTAAGCCCAGTGAGACCATTGCATTTATATATATTTCAACAGGTTGTAAAGGGACTTTTTTTGCGGAGGTCATGCCAAAATTTTATATATTTTATTATTATTATTTTGGTATCTTTTTGGGTCGGTACAAATTTGGTATCAGAGTAATGGTTCTAATACCATTACGACGACGGGTAGAGGCCTACCTAGGATTGCATGGGGAGTTGAGTTATTTGTTTACTTGTTTAATTGTTTACGTGATTGTATGCTTATATGCTTATGTGTTAAGGTGTTTAATTATTCGAAAGGCATGCTTAATTGTTTAATTACTTATATGATTACGTGCTAGTGCTTCGTGTTGTTATATATTATTAGCATGATCATGCTTTTCATCGATTGGGTTTCTTTTTCCGGGAGTATGGAAAGTGTTTAAGTGTTTTCATTTCATGTCGAATCAATCATGTGAGGACTCGATTTTTGGACGTGTTTTAGTGTCATCGTTTTTGACCCGTTTCTTTTTTCTTATAGTGTCATGCCACCACGAAGGCATCCCGAGGAAAGTTTTAGCTCCAATCCCGTGAAAAGGGATCAAGAGCAAGTTGAAAAAGATATCTTATTGCGTGATTTGGTCCCACCAAGAGGACAATCGAGGGGGACAGTTGATCCACCTCTTCAGATAAATGAGGAGCAATTGAAGTTGGCTGTTCAGGCAACTCTTTTCGATGCATTTCGGCTGGCAGGAACATCATCGTTATAGATTGTACCACCACTGACACCACTACCACCACCTCTAAAGATAAATGAGTCAAATGATACTCTTTATCACATTACAAAGTTTGTAAAATTTGTGCCAACTCTGTTTGAGGGTGGTCCTGATCCGCTTGTTGCGGATAGTTTTATGGATAGAGTGGAGAAGCATCTCAACGCCATGAATTTGGTGACGGACAAGTTGAAGATCACCTTGGCAACTTATAACTTTGTTGGGGATGCTGAGATTTGGTGGAAGACCGTTTCTCATACCCACAATCTGGACACAATGACCTATGATACATTCAAGAAGTTGTACTAAGAGAAGTACTTTTCGGCACCTAAGTGGAGAGAACTAAAGAAAGAGTTTGATGGGTTGAAGCAGGAAAATATGACTGTCACTGAGTACGAGAACAAGTTTACGTCGCTTTTGAGGTTTGCACCTGGGATTGCTAATGATGAGGAAGGAAAAATAGAGAAATTTGTTCATGGCCTTGATCTTACCATCAGGCCAATTATAGCTGCCTCAGAACCGACAAAGTATGCAAAAATAGTGCGAAAGGTCTTGGTGGTTGAGGCCGAAACTAAGGACAACAAGGCTATCAGGGAGTCCTATAAACACAACAGGAGTATGAGTGTTATCTCTGAGGGTCAATCAAGTAAGAAGCAGAAGAATGAACAATCAGGGTTCAGGGGACAATAGCCAGCCAAATCCACACCCACAGTTTCAGTGTCTATGGGGTCTTCTAGACGGAATATTACTTATTTTTTATGCGGGCAACCGGGGACATTTCAAGTCCCGGTACACTCAGACTCAAGTAGCTCAGGTGATTTGTTTTAAGTGTTGGCAGTTAGGGCATCACAAGTCTCAGTATACTCAGATTTAGGTGGCGTCTGGTGGGTGTTTTGGGTGTGGCCAGCAGGGCCACAGGGTGAAGGATTGTCCACAGCGGGGCAACGGTTCAGGCAGGGGTGGACTTCCCTAACAGAGGCAGATGCAGTCTGCCACAGTTTAGTCAGGGTTTCGATCGCCAGCACCACCTTAGCCATCTCAGTCAGCTATGCCAGCGCAGGGAGTTCACGACTAGGCAGAAGGGCTTCTTCGAATGCACCCACTCAGCAGTCAGGATATCAGACAGGTGGTTCTCAGGGAGAGAGGACCCAGGG